CATCATGGAAAGGAGCCTCCATGAGCCCATGTACCTCTTCCTTGCTATGCTGGCGGTTGCTGACCTCATGCTTTCGACCACGACGGTGCCCAAAATGCTGGCGATCTTCTGGTTCAGTGCCAGGGAAATTTCCTTTGACGCCTGCATTACACAGATGTTCTTTACCCATTTCAGTTTCATTGTGGAATCGTCCGTTCTGCTGGCGATGGCGTTTGATCGGTACGTGGCTGTCTGCGACCCGCTGCGGTACTCTTCAATCTTAACCCCCTCGGTGATCGGGAAAATAGCTGTGACTGCCGTTGTCCGGGGCTTCTGCATCATGTTCCCACCCATCTTCCTCCTGAAGCGGCTGCCGTACTGTGGACACAACGTCATGCCCCACACCTACTGTGAGCACATGGGCATCGCCCGCCTGGCCTGTGCCGACATAAAAGCCAACGTCTGGTATGGGCTGACAACGGCTCTTCTCTCCTCCGGCCTGGACGTCGTGCTCATCGCTGTCTCTTACGCTCTGATCCTCAGGGCGGTCTTTCGGCTCCCGTCCCCGGAGGCCCGTCTCAAAACCCTGAGCACCTGCGGCTCCCACCTCTGCGTGATCCTCATGTTCTACGTGCCCGCCTTTTTCTCCTTTCTCACGCACCGGTTTGGCCACCACATCCCAAGTCGCGTTCACATCCTCTTGGCCAACCTCTACGTCGTTGTCCCACCGATGCTCAACCCCATTGTGTACGGGGTGAGGACAAGGCAGATCCGGGAGCGCGTCATCCGCCTCTTCTGCCCCGCGGGGGAGTGCCCCTGCCCCGGCTGGGGGAGCAGGTGCTGAGTGCTGCTGGCGGGAAGCGGGACGTGGGACAGGATCTGGAAAGCAGCAGCAAGCGCTGCAGCACTTCTCGCCCTGGAGGAACAGGTTTGCCCGAGAGGTTCAAGAGAAGCTGAGGGTGGTGGGATTTCTGGAAATGTGGGCTTGGGTCATCAGCCCCTTCATTGCTGCTGGTTTTCTCCTAGAGATGCTGCCCCTGAACGGTCCATCTAGCAGAGCCTGGGCAGAGTTCAGCTGAGGAGCATCAAGGCTCTTACATCTGCCGATTTACCATCACCTACTGCTGCTGATTTTGTTTGCTGTCCTACAGCTTCGTTTCTGTTTGTTCCTTCACCTGTTATCTCAGTGCATAGACCGTGAACACCTCATCGGTCATCAGACCGGAGCCTGGTACTTGAACCATAGCTGGATGGGCAAAGTGCTGTTTACCACGGCACAGATGGTGGTCTGTCCTCCTCTCTTCATGGGTATAGCTTGCACTGCTGAGGGACCCTGGCACCTCTTGCTGCTGAAGGTGTTTACATGCTGAAGAGCCCCGTGAGGTCGGGAAAGGCTTTATTGTCCCTTGTTAAAGGGAACCATATCCCTTAAATCATGATGTCCAAAACTGAATTCAAACCTCTAGAGTGGGGTGCAAAGGGACAATGGTCTCCTACATCCAACAAACCTCACAGGGATGTTTTCTGCCTTTGCAAGAACGCTGCGCTGCTGAGCAGTGCTCAGCATGAAGTACATTGCACCTCAAGATCCCTTTCTGCCCATACGGCTGGCTGATTACCCACCACTTCGTTGCTGTAAATTTGATTTCTCCTTCAACACCAAAATAGCTTTGTTGAACTTTTTCTTGTTCCTCTCATTGGTGTATTGAATCAATAATACCTTATTCTACCTGGAGTCAGTGTCAGTCTGCCTCAGACAATTGGGAAAAGCAGTGCAGACATGAAGAGTGAGCACTAGCTATTGCTGGAGGAGCAGCAAGGACAGTTCCTTGCATAGTCTGAGTTTAACTTAATCATCAATCTGACCAGCAAGGAGAGCCCTTTTCCTTACCTTTCCCTTCCTAGCAAAGACAGCAGTGCCGGCTGTCAGAGTAAACTCATCTGCTGTCTCTGCTTTGGTGAATCTCATGAGTGGCAAGGTCAGAAAGCGGGGACACTCATCCCAGTGCAGCGAGCACCAGCACTGCTAAAGTGTCCCAGGTGCACATAAAGGCCCATGGGGAGAAGGGAGTGGAGGCAGCACTGGGGACCTCAGGGGGAAGCTTGCCAGAATCTCAGGTCGCTGCTGGAAGGTCAGTGTGCTCTGCACTGCTTTTGAGGTGGGGTTTTGTTGCATGTGGAGGACCGTGGAGACACTGACACCAGCAGCCACAGTCCTGTCAGGAGTCTTCTGGTTCCTGCAGCCTGGACTACAGCAGGGAT